GAAAATGAGCCATTTCGAAAACTTCCACATTATTAAGTCACCCTGCCCTTTACCTAGCAACCCCAGCAGAGTTCCACCTGTTACTTAGCAACCTCAGCAGAGTTCCACCTGTTACTTAGCAACCCAAGTAATCGATGTCAACTGGTTTTACTACTGTACAATGGCTGCTGGAAAATATAAGTGTTTTGTTGACTTAACATCCACAAACCACTTCCTGGGTTATTTTTATTTGTGTAGGAGGCTCCACTTTTGCTTTTCACACTTGTATAACTGCGCATCTGCTTGCAGCTATTTTCACGTGTGTGTAAACGTTCAGTTGGGTCTACAGCAGGTTAATTGGATTTAAAGTGACAAGACGGCCTGAAACAGCTCATTCTGAAAAGAATGATTTTGTGCAAAACATTTACTGAGCATGTTTTTTATAACCTGTAGACCTATCTTAACCTGTTTAAAGAAGCATTTAAAAGCTTTAAATACATAAAGAAAAGTGAAACATTTTTTCCATTTTATTGAAAACGAATCAGAAAACCTGCAGACAAGGTTTTAAATGTAATCAAAGCCGCATATTTCCAATTTGTCAGCCTTTAGACGTACCAGGAGTCCTTTAACAGAACGGAGGACAGGATAAATGACTGTTTAGTTTGATAACCATCTGTCCTTTGCCATCAAATGTTTTATTGTTTCTGGGTAAAGCAAACACTTAAAGCAGTGAAACTGAAGGATTCCAGCTTTTATTGTGAGCAATAACAGTACAAATCTGCGGATATTGTTATTTGCAGCATAACTGGGTAATAGTCTTTCTTCAAGAATACCCAGAAGCTGAATAACCTCCCAGCTGTTTCGGGTACTTTTACACTTTAAATTGTTCTAATTTTCTCATTAGTTGCGACCGCTCATCCTCTAAAACACACACCCAGCCTCCCACGCGACCTCTATGTAAACGTCTCTCTGTGTGCGGCTCTCGTCTCGTCGGCTAATTGCTTCTGTTTGTTTTCATGTAAATGTCTCCCCCCTTGAAAAACCGGGGCGACGTTTCCACGGGTGACAGTAAAAAGCCTCTTGCGGTGCGTGCGGTCCTATAATTAGTCATGCGGTATGTTGTCGTGCTGCCAGGACAGATGCTCTCGGGTGTGTTTGCTTCGGTTTCTGTTTGCTCCCGCTGTAATAACGACAAACACGCACGCTCAGAAAGTGTCATTTGTCTCAACGGGGCGCAGCAGCACAGTAATTTGTTGTTGGTTATGACTGTTTCTACTCTATAATGCTGAGTGTTATACTCCATCAGCAAACCTTTACTTCTTCTCTGTTGCCGGGCTTCACTCCGCTGTTTTTAATCTCTGTCAGATCAGCTGAAAAACAGGAGCCCAGTCTGCAATCACTTAGCTACAGACGCATCCAGCCTTGAGGCACAATGACTTTTTTAAACATTGTTTCAAAGGAAACTTCAAATCAAAACATATTAACTTCAACATAGCAGAATTAATGGGAGTTTCATCCATAATTTAGCATCTAAGTGATCATAAAATGTTAATTATTAAAGAAATGACCACTCTTAAAACTGCAAACTGCCAATTGATCTCAACTCTGAAGAAATTTACGAGATGAAAGCAGATATAAGCCGCTTTCAAATATGCAGAGAGGGAAGGAGTGAAGGGAGGTGAAGAAGATAACGGACCACTGAACTGCCAGAGGTATCAGATGGATCTAATCTGAGTCCAGAGGCAAAACGCAATGACGCCGGCCGGAGGGAAGCAGTGGGGGTGGGACGGTTACCCGGACAACTACAAAACCGCCGTGGAGTTTGATTCAGCCGATAAGACGGCTCAAAGCCAGCATTTACTGTAGCGAGAGCAAAATGTTTGAACTGGTAAACAGAAACGACAACAAACGCTGAGGACTGATAGAAATATGAGTCCAGAATGTGGTTAAAGATAAAGACGCTGCATGGTGAGGATCCATTTTGTCTACAAGGATAAAACATGCATAAAAACAAAGTTCATCCCGTTTGAGTTTAAAATCTCTTCCTAAATTATATTGTATTAAAATTGCTAACAAACAATTTTAGGCATTTTCTTACCTATTTAATGATCCATCTTTGTTGTTCTGGGCCGCTCGTTATTTTATCTAGAAATAAATTTTTGACTTTTAAAATATCAGATAACGCTCTAAAATAGAGAAAATCTAACCAAAAAGTAAAGTTACGTCATTCAGTCAATTTGTGCTGAAGTGTTTGTCTTCCTGGCTGAATTTATCACCTGACTAATGATTATATAACACTTTGATCCCAGAAAATAACTTTAAAGTGATTCTGTGATGTAAAATCGCACGTCTGCTTTAAACTGACGTGCTTTTAAATGTCCTTTTTCAGGAAATGTCTCGATAAGTTTGAACTCTGCGTCTAGCAGCTTAATAATCTAAGATGATGAGCTGAGTGATACTTACAGACATCTACGATCTTTGCTAAGCTTCTCTTAAAACCATTTCCAGGAATCTAACAGCAGCTAAAATGAAGATTAATTTAATTGGCATCAATTCTTGGCTAATTCAAGATGAAACCAACAAATATTAAAACAGCGGCTTGTTTTTAAGACTCCTGGGTGAAGAAACGTGCAGTCGACCTCAGCCTGCACGCTAATGCATCATGCTGGCACATGTGTAATAAACTAAACTGGCTTTCTACTGTAGCCTTGTGCCTTCTTAGTTTCCTTTTTACACGCCAATAATGTTGCAGCTGCAGCTCCTGTCGGCACATTACACCATGTCCACCAAGGCATGTCCAACAACGCAGTGATAATCTGTTGCTGTTTGTCTATTTTAGGGTTTCCTTCAGTGTACTGTAAGCCTGGCGGGCCGACAGGTTTTATTTGTCCTCGCCAGGCTGAACAATGTTTAATTTATTTTCTTTTTCTATTTTTTTGTATTTTATTTTTCATTTCATTCACTCAATAATAAATAGGAATAGTTCATATAACTATTAAACACTAAGTTATGTATTCAGTAATATATTGTTTAATTATTCTAGTTTGTTTTTATTATATGTATCTATAGTTAGAGTTATAGTTTATAGATATAAACTTATATCTTCCCCTTATTAACATGAGGAGAAAATTGGCTATTTAACTTAAATTATTAGATATATTTCAAATACACAACAAAATATCAGCTTATTCGACAGCATATTGCTTCGTTATGATTTTTAAATTTCTTTAAAAACCAAACAGATTTATTAATTGTTTTATCTTACCGTCAAGATTTTTCCATAAACTGAAATTTTTAAATGAAATATATATTTCCATTGTCCAGGTTGATGGAATCAACTTACTCTCTCACTCACTCATTGGTTACCTAGCAACTCGCTCACTCATTGGTTACCTAGCAACTCGCTCACTCATTGGTTACCTAGCAACAACTTGTTGAGTAATTGGCACAGTAGCAGCTTAAAGTTTTGCCTTGTAACTGATTAAAACTAAAAAACAACAATGTGGAGTAAAAACTGCAGATAAAACCAGAAATGTCACGTCACCATTTTGGCAGCATTTAGGCATTTAAAACGATTAACAACAATTATCAACATCGACTGATATGAAACACAGATATCGCGATACGTTTTCAACCAAATTCAGCGCACAGTAAAACCGATGTGACAAACTTTATTTAATTTAAAGTTAACAAAACAGCCAAGTAAATTAGTACTTTAGAATTTATCCGGAAAATTATTTAGGGAGGCTAAATGTGCTAAAATTAGTTAATGCGCTAAATGAAAAATTAGCTTTGAAATGAGCATCTAAGGCCTAAAGATGCAGTCCAGTAAACAATCAGTGAAACTTATCATTACAGTGCAGTTTGTAAATTAGATAAATGTGAAGTTAATTTACAAACATATTTTTAGTTGTGTATCCATGTTTGTTCAAAATGTTTTCAACATTTTTAAGGTGAGGAACCAGAACTTTCCTTTTCCTCAAACATCAATTTCTGTCCCTTCATTTGTTCTCCAAACAAACAGTTGAATAATTCATGCTTTAATTACGAGTCAATAACTTCAGCGGCCATCTTTAGGCTGATGGATCTGGGTCCACAATGTTTTCTGTCAGGCGCTGAATTGATAGTCACACAAAAAGCTATTAGGCGCGCTCGCTGATCGACAGACCAACAGCTGGGGGTGAAACAACTATTTGTTTATTAAGTTCAGATTTTTTACGTCTCCCTACAAATAATCATTCAAAAATGAAGTAAATGAGATTTATTTGACCTTTTAAAGCTGCTTTGTCTCTGTGGGGCCTGAAGTTTTTCTTGTTTTGGATTCATTAGACTATATTAATCTATGATGGTGTCCGTTTTGCTCTGCAGACGATGAGCAGTCGTTTTTTCCCGCACGACGACATCATCACCACCGACGCCGTGCTCAGTCTGGATGAAGACTCTGTTCTCTCAACCAATGAGGTGAGTTATTGATTACAAACCAGAGAACTTGGACACAAATACTTCATCTAGAAAACGAGGTGAGGCAGCCATGCTGTCAGCACACGACGCCACTAGACAAAGATTACAACTTCTGAATTAATCTGGTCACAGTCAGTCCTGTTAGCGCACCATTCTCCCACCCAGCGAAGGAATGCAGTCCCATAACTTTAATTATTAAAAAATAAATTACTTTCAGTAATTCATTCAAAAGGTAAATGGTTATGGTCAGGCTGCACAATCACTCCCTACAAACTGGGTAAACGGAAAAGCTAGTTACGCTAACAGTAAAACATAAGCCCTGCTAACGCTAAAGCGCTACACTAACAGTATTTAACAGAAGCTAATGCTAACATGTAACTTCAATTCAAATAATGTCAGTTTAAATGTCTGATTCTAGTTTAATGTTTTTAAGGTTCTACAAGCTTTTTGTTTTTTGATTTAATTTACTTAGCTTAGCTTAACAATTTTCTGTTTTGTTGGTTGTGTTTGGCAACAGTTTAACATTTTAATTTCTGTTGCATTAAGCAACATAAAAAGCAAAATTTGAACCAACATTAAGCATTAATCAAACATCAGTTCTGCTACAGCTAAAGCACTATACCAACATGTTAATTGGCAGACGCTAACGCGCTAACTTTAATTAACTTTAATTCACCATTTTAAACATCACAATAAATGTTCCTTAATGCCCTTCTAGAAAAAATAAATAATGTGAGAAAAGGAAATGGATCTGCTGTGTAAACAGTTCCCCACTTCAAAATAAAAGCATGGATATAAACAGCTAAAAGTCGATAGCCAAAATCTCAGCACAGATGAACTTTACTCAACTGAAAGTTTACAAAACAACCTAGTAAATTAGTGTTTTAGAATTTATCTGGAAAAAGTAAAAGGAACATAAGTTATCAAAAATGCTAAAGCGCTAAACTGAAATTAGCAGATCAGCAGAAGTGTGCCCACCACTGTAAGCCTTAATACAATTTTAAAAATAAATGTCAGATATGTCACTCAATAAAATGTTCATACATCACATACACTTAAAAAAAACAACAAACAAACCAAAAGGTATTTTAGACATTAAAAGTGAATGTTTTTAAAAGCTGCAAAAATTTATTTTTTACATAGATGGGGAGGTAAATTAATAGGATATTATAATAAAACAAAACCACTCAAAAATCCAAAACCTCACTAGAATGCTCACTTTCAGTTGAAACTGAGACAGTTTATTAGTAAAAAGCATTTTTTGTCCTCTTCCCACTGTGATCTCTGTCTCACTTCCAGTCGGTTTCAGCCAATAGGAGGATGAGGTGATACCTTGACACAGTATTGATCCGTACTGAAATGGCACAAGCCGTCCACGTAAAGTCATGAATAATGATCAAAATAAATGAATTGCCTCACGCTGCTAAACAGTGCAGCAACCACTCAGAGGTAAACAAGTGTTTAAGCTTAACCTGCAAGAATCTGGCTTCTTTTTCAACATTCCTGTGTTGATGACTTTAAAGATGGAAGAAAAACCTGAAAAGTGAAGAAGAAACAGCAAGAAATGGAGAGGAAGGAGAAAAGATGGAGCAATTAAAGGGACAGAATGCATAGCAACAATTACGGCTCAAAGAGGAAAGTAACGAGCCGGCTGAGTAAGATTTAATGAAAAACAAAGTGCTTTCATGGAGTCAGGAGTTTTGCCAGAGCCATTACCTCAGCGTCTGTATCGTTACTCTGTCAGAGCACAAAGGGTATATTTGATGTTGCTAAAACAGAGGATGAGAAACACTCCAGTGGCATTCATTTAGGACAATTTAAAGAACCGTGAATCGTACCAGTGTCCATTTTAAAGTACAATCTGATGTGTAGGCAATCAGTAAATTTACTAAAACTAACAAAAACAAAACAGATTCACCAACCTGTGGCAGGTTATAAACGCCTGTTCTTTAACAGGAGTTAATCAGATTAATCGTGATGAATCAGTTATTCAAATAATCACCAACTGATTTAGTAATCGATTAATCGTTATTTGTAGTGACTCATTTTCAAAGCAGTATTTAAGCTAAACCTGTCAAACATATTTACATTTTACATTTAACAAGGGGAAAAAACAAACTTAGTAAATATGTCACAATACATTTTTCTAGACGATAAATTTTCCCAGAAGTTATTGCGATAAATGATAATATTGTTGTTTTGAGACCATTTTCAAGAAATTTGATTTTCAGTAAACTTTAAATTCTAATTAATATTTAACACTGTAACTGAAAGACATTTTAAATAAAATAAATAAAACAACAAATTAAAAATGTCCAGTTGAGACCAGAGAACTAGACTGAAGACTTTTATCATCTAGTTTTTGGTAGAAAAAGAGAAAAACGATAAGTCATGCAAATGGAAATTATTGATTTTGCTCTAATTTATTATGCGATTAATTGATTTATTGATTATCGAGACGCTCCTAGTTCTACCCAAAACTCAAGCTGCACAGTTTCAACTTCACCCAGTTCACAGTTTGTGGAAAAAATCTATTAATCACATTTTTCTGTCTAATTAATAATTGGTTAATGGAAGTAATTGACAACACATCAGCACTGATGTTGCACCAAGCAGAAAGAGCTGAACCTTTCACATTAATGTTGTATCTTTGATACAAATAATCAAATTTACACAAAAGGAATGGCAATAAAATATTTTTTAAATAGATTTGAATTGTACTTCTAATATTGCACAAAAAAGGTTTAAATAAAAATCTGCAGAATGGGCCAATTTTCTTATCCGATTAATTGATTAATCGTTAAAACAGTCCATAAATTAATCGATAACTAAAATAATCGTTAGTTCCAAGTGGGAGCAGCTGCTTTCTTCCTGAAACAGGAGCAATAAGAAGCTAATCAGTGAATCTCTAATGCTCTGATTAATTCATCTGTCCTGGTGCCCTTTAAATATTCGGAGCGGAGAGAAAATCGCCACGATTGAACATTCATTAGCATTTTTCATATTGCATTATTTCAGCAAAGCTTGACTTTGCCAGTTTGCTGATTGTTATTTCGGTTAATTAAATTAGTTTTATTTCACCAGGAGAGATTAGAGAAGACAAAACAGACGCCTCTCCTTCGGCGCTGCATGCAGGAATTGGTGCAACTAAAGCAGAACTCCAATTAACCTGCAAATGTTAAATTATATGTTAAAGTTGTTGCAGCTCATGTTAGATTTCTGAATGTAAATTTAATTTCAGTATGATTTCAAATGTTTTTACTACCTTACCTACTATTTAACCACTAAAGCACTAATTTACCGGTACTTATTTTTTCTAACCTTTATTGATTTAACACTTTACTCACCATCATATGAATCAACACAGATTTTGTTCTGCTTTTGGGTTTTAAGTCTCAAAAAGTAAACAGACTTCAGATTAACGAGCTCTCAAAATCAGTTTGTCCAGTTAAAGAAAATTAGCTTTTATAAGAAGCTTTTTTGTGCCTCTTGAACATCCATTAACTTTCTACTTTTTAACACATTTGTTAATATTTTCTGACTTTGTCTTAATTTTGTGAATTTTGTTGCCGATTTCTGTTGTAAAAATATGAATTTAATGTAATGTTTTTTGCTAGTTTTCCTGCTGTTAAACATTTATCATTTTTTAAAAGTAAAGCAACAGCAGTTAAATCTAAAACATGGGCTAAATGATTTTGGAGTTAGCAGCTGGTATGTTAATCTTACTAAAATCATGGTTTTCTTCTGTATTCCCATCAAATTCTGATCCGTAACTCGTATTTACAACTGGCAGCAAATTTAAAATATGTATATTATATCAACTATATTCAATAATCCCATTTGGACTCAGAATATCTTTAAAACAAGACTTGTTAAAGTAAAAACACTGGTTTGCAACAACAGTAAGTTCTCCCTACGGTTATCATAGTTATCAAAAACTAACAAACTGAGAAACCATTTCCAGTACTCATTACCCAATACTTTGACCTAAAAATGAAAAAGTATGAAAAAGTTAATTAAACTGAATTAGACAAATAGTCAACAAAATAAATTAAAACCCTGGTTCCTCTAAAAGCAGAAAAGTTTTTGCAAGTTTTCTTCCAAATAAATCAAATACCTGAGGCTCAACAGTGCAACAATATCTGAAAAAGAAAAACACTGAAAACTGAAGCAGGTACCAGGGCTTACAATGCCTTGTGCTCGTCTTATCTCATGACATTGGACACATTAAACCCAAATGTCAGGAGAGATTTGAAACAGATCTATTGGTAGATCGACCCTCTGATCCGTAGATCAATGTCGGCCTTGTAGAATCTATTAGTATGTATAACACAAAGTTGTACTTTTATCACTTCGTACGACATCTCAATGACTTCTGTGTTAAATCACAGTAACTGAGCTGCATTCATTGCAAATTAACGGACTAATCTTTAATGCCCCAACAACAGAAGTATGAATAAGAATAAGGAGTCCTGTAATCTGTCATTGACGCACCATTTTACCTCTTCATCACCGAGGGGAAAATTAGATTTGCAGGATATTATTAATCCTTTCAGCCCGGCTGTGGAGACGTTTTGACGCGCTCAGACTCAACCACACACGCCGCCAACGCGCCAATTGATCGGCGGCTGCATTGGGAGCGGCAGCTGCAACCTTTCTCTCGGCTTAGCGCCGCCGCTTTACAGTAATTGCTCACACGATTCATGACAGAAGCCGCAAGGCATCACTAAAGAACATCCACTTTCAGGGCTCTCCTCCCCAACGCCGGCTCTTCTTCCGTGCAGTTGTGGTAATTAATTTTCTGTCGGCTTCCCCAGGTGATGTGCGCACGCCGGTGTCTGTGTAGCCAAGTATTTCATTATGTGCTGATCCCCTTATTCTCTGGTGTGTCTGCCCGCGTGTCTCAGTGGTGCTTTTGTGGGTCTTTGTCAGGTGGATCAGACTCCTTCAAGGACGGCCAGGTGCTCCACACAATCCCACATAAGGTTTCTACTTTACTGCTGCGTTTTTGTCATCGATAGGAATTTAAATATTGTTCATCTACTTTTGTTTTGTCCTGAGGGTTTTTTTTCAGTATGGTGAAAAAATTACAGAAGAATAAAGAAATAAACTTGAGTAAATCGGATTGAGGACTTTGCCAATTAAAGACCTTACAGGTGAAACATTACAGTTGAAGTAAAATCACATTTTGCACATTTTTATACTTCCATTTTGTTTTCTACTGCTTCTAAAAACAGACCAAACGCTTAAAGAATTCACCCAGCTGTTTTTTTGGCAACAAGTTGATGTTTTTGGTGTCTGAGGAATGATCTGTTTAAAAACCTCCAAATCAGCAGGCATTGACCCCTCACCTAACAGCGCCAGCAGAGTTCCGCCCGTTACCCGGCAACGCCAGCAGAGTTCCGCCCGTTACCCGGCAACGCCAGCAGAGTTCCGCCCGTTACCCGGCAACGCCAGCAGAGTTCCCGCACGTTTTGGTCAGCACTGTATGTGCTGCATAATAGACACATGTTTTACTGTTCACTTCCCATCCAGAAATAACTTGCTCCATTCCTTTTGGTCATGCAGGAGGCTCCACTTCTGCTTTTCAAAGCTGTACGATTGTAGAATTGTTTGCAGCCATTTTCACGTGAGTGTAAATGTTGAGTTGGGGGTCGTGGTCAACAGCAGCTTACTTAGATTTAATGTAACAAAGGGCCCTAAAATCAAATTGTCTAAGAATGATGTAGTGTAAAACATGTTCTGTTAGCCCGTTGTCCTGTCCTAACCTGTTCAAGGAATCAAAATAAATCACTTCCAGTACGTTTGGAAGCCACCGTAATCCTCATAAAAATCACTGATGCTCCTGGAAGTATGTGGAGTTTTAGCATTGCAATATATAGACTGGGAAAACAGAACAAAATAAAATGTTGAGGTCTGCTGTCCATTATCAAGTTCACATCAGAATTTTTTAAGTTGCTTTTTGTGGCTCCAGTTTGACTTCATGTAGGAATTACACACCTCAGAAAGACCCACCTGAACAAACTTACCCTGTCATATAAAACAGCTCCGCCTGATTCGACCTGTATAGTTTGCTACAGATTTGCCACACAGCTACGAAGACGGCTTGACAGATGAAAAACATTCAGCCAGGTCACCTGTAGAGGCAGAGCTACATTAAAAGCTGCAGTAACTTCTTGACGAGTGAAATCATTACATTGCATTTCTGTTGACAGCTGGCTCCAAATCTTACACTGTTCAAAGCTAAAGTGCTAAAAGAGAAGAAAGAAGGCAACTGCTGTGATTTCCATTTACCCTCAATTTTCTTCTCTTTCCACCCTGGCTGTCCTTGCTTTTATGCTTCCCCAGGTGGACTTTGCTTTCATTGTATGGCAAAGTTTTCCGGAGCGGATTGTGGGTTATCCGGCGAGGAGCCACTACTGGGATAGTTCCAGATCACGCTGGGGCTACACCTCCAAGTGGACTAATGACTACTCCATGGTACTTACAGGAGCAGCTTTTTACCACAGGTACAAAGTCCTGAATGACGTCCAGCTGACCAGAAAAAGCCCTGCACTTATTTTTATTCACAGAATCCTTCTTTTACTCAGAATATGCTTCTAGAAATACAACCAGACAAGAAAATGGCATATAATAAGATGCATACAATAGACACGTCTTTTAATTAACTATCTGCATGTATTTCTGTGTTTTTAACTAAACCATCGATGTCCCAAGTGATTGGCAGCGCTAAGACCCGCCTCTTGGCTCTGATTGGTTGTTTTTGGTGCATTTCTTCAAACAGCATTGGTAGCTCAGAGGAAGTGGAGATTATTATCTCTATTATAAACTGTCACAATATGGAGATAGTTTTAACAGATATGTAAAAAGAAAAGTTTCAAACTGCGGGTTTAAGCTCATGTGATAGAAATGAAGAATAATTTAAAAAGTAAAACTGGCACTACTTTAAAACAAATGTGCATTTCTGTGCATCGACTAAAACTATTGAACAGTTTGAATGAGTGGAAGAAATGCTTCATCATAAATCAAACATTTTATAAGAAAAATATAATTTCGTCTTTTGTTCTTCTGACTTAATTTAAAATTTATTGAAATTTTATTTTAAAATTATTGAGTTTATACAAGATTATTTAATAAATCATTTAAATGATTGTCACCGACTAATCACTAACAGACGTTTAAAAACAGCATTTGCAGAAAAAACAACATTCAGAGTAATTAAGCCAAATCTGTACAAAATATATTTATACATTTTGCATTTAAATTAAAAAGCGTATTTGTCTGTAAATGTTCTGCCTAGAACTCAAGTGGCATTTTTAGCTGCCACTTTGGCTTCGAATGCACCTCGTTCAGATTCTGCATAAAAAATATTAAGCGCCATTTACTGTACAGTTATTAATTGGTTAGTCCAAAAAATAATCAGCAGATCAGCCCTACACTGTACTGATGTTAAGCCAAGCAGTAATGCTGATGATAAAAGTATTTTTAGCTGCAGATAATCAGGTGTTCACTAAAGGAAGCCTGTTGTGGCAATAAAATGTTTATTTTGTTGCTTAAAAATGAATTGAAATGTTTATTTGCAACTTTTACTGTATTTCTAATGTATAAAAAATGTATAAATGAAAAATGAGCAGAATGTGCCGATGTTTTATCCACTAATCATTGCAGTTATTTACCGGATGTCATCTGTGAGGACAGATGCTGTCCATTGTCCACAGTAAAGCTCATTCTGTCATTAGTACTGTTGGCTCTTTGGGTTGTAATTGTCCTGCAATCGGCTCCAAGCCAAACCTTTACAACATCCACATTAACCGTTTTCATTCACTGAGCTCATCCTACTCATTTCCTTCACTAGAGAATAACGTGAAACAATATAGCTTTCTCTACTGCCCTGTTATCTAAAAGTGTTTAAAATGTGATACTAGTAATGAAATGTGAAAGAAAAAAGGGTAGACTGGAGCATGTAGCCGAGCGGTAAATTGAACAGCCGAGTGTGTTCCTCTCCAAAGGGATTCCAGGCGTCTTGTCTCGCAGATAAACGGCTTTCTCTTCGCTCCATTGTTTGGATGCTGAATGCACCTCCTTAGTTCTTTTGTTATTTCGACTCTCAAATGCCAACAAAAGCAGACAACACGAATTAGAGGTGGTGTGTGTGTGTGTGTGTGTGTGTGTGTGTGTGTGTGTGTGTGTAAGAGCGAGCGAGTGCAAACCTTGGCAGGGAGGTAAAAGACCTGACAGTGATCTAGTGTTCCCACGCTGCGAGAGCAACACAACAGCAGCTCTGAATTTAAAAGACCAGAACGAGGAATCCAGAATGCTGAAGCTCTCTTCACTGTGTGCATCAGATACTACCACTTCCTGTTCACTCACTACATCCCAGCCAGCCTGCTGACCATGGTGGACCGCATGGCCAACTGCGAAGACATCCTGATGAACTTCCTGGTTTCAGCCGTCTCCAAGCAGCCGCCGATCAAAGTCACACAGAAGAAGCAGTACAAGGAGACCATGATGGGCCAGGTGACGCAGTTTCACTGAAACACAAGAACACACAACACACTAGATTGATTACTTTAAAATTACTTGATTCACTAATAAAGGCAGCTTAGAGCTTCTTTTAGTGTTGTAGTTTGGCCTCCATCCAGCAAAGGGCGCTGCTGGTCATCCTTAAGAGGAGCCAGTAGACACAGAAATAAAGATGGGGGAACCATACCAGTATGAAGGTGCATTAGGGCCATTATAGATAGAAAACAAAAGGAGAAGTACATTTCCACCAAATTTGAGGATAATCTCAGAAATTTTCTAGAAAAAACATGGACATTTATGAACTTGAAAAGGCAAATATTAGCTAGAAAAACAAGTCAGAAATTTTGAGAATAATCTCAAAGTTTCTAGAGAAAACACGTGGAAATTTCTGCGCTAGAAAAAAAAACTCAGATTAATTTCATACATGTTTGTAGATAAAACTTGGAAATTTCAGAGTCTGAAAAGTTGAAAATTTGCTAGAAAAAAATTCCAAAATTTTTAGGCTCCTTTCAGAAATTTTCTAAGAAAAAATTGGAAATTTTAGAGTTCCAAAAGCCAAAAAATTGCTAGAAAAAATATAGGAAATTTTGAGTTTAGTCTAAGAAATTTTCTACAAAAGAATTTGACATTTATTCTTGAAAAGGAAACATTAGCCAGGAAAAAAACTAAAAAAATTTGAGTTTAATTTCAACTTTTCGAGAGAAAACATTAAAATTATATAAAATGATCTTTTATTAATTATTAAACTTAGAATAATGTTGAAATTTGTTTTATTTTTTGTGCTGTAGAATCAACTTCTTTGATCTTATAAAGTCAAACTGCTGATGTGTTTTATCCTTAACCTTGAAGCACAATTTAACATTGCAGTGAATTTAGAGAGACCAGATTACCAAAATGACTTGGAATTTAGCAGAAAGAGACAAAACCTGCAAAATGAACTGAAAAAGAAGGTTTTGTTTGCAGGATATAAGTAATAAATTAATAAAGGAAAGTTAAGGTGAAGGACCAAAAGAAAGAAATGAGGATTTATGGAGAAAGTATAGGATTTACTGAACAACAAACACATTTGTATGCAAGGATTCTGACCAAATAAAATACTGGAAAATAAATATATTGAACTCTATAATAATGCCATTTCCAGCTACCGCCATGCTATAAATGTTAAGGTCTGTGCTGTAAATCATCCAGCGCCTGAAGTGGAGACTGATTGCGGCTCTAAGGCGGCACAGGCTCTGAAAGATTTAAAAATCAAAGTGAGTTAGCAGCAGATTGAGTCAGAAACACGATACTCTATTTATCATTAAACAAGTCAGGAAGAGCGTTTCCTTCTTCTACTCTTTAACGAGCTATTTATATGTTCCAGGTCAGTTTTCAGTTTGAAGGTCTTCCAAATTAAAGTTTATATCTGTTCACCAGAGTGCTACAGTTAAAAAACAGAAATGCATTTCTATGAAGATTTAAAATGGGCAGATCATTTCCATTCACATTTCATTGAAAGCTATTTTATTTAATGTATTTTATTTATGGTTTTGGTTGTGTGGGGTTGTAAATTTTCATTTAATTATTATTTTTGGATATTTAAAATGTCTTATCCAGTTCCAGTGTTGAACGTTCGTAACAAAATTAAAGAGGGAGAACTTGAACTTATTAATGTTTAATAATGGCCTCAAAACGACAGTGTTACTGTTTAACGCAATAATTTCTGGGACAAGAAAAAAAATTGTCATCATGATAAGCTTACCAATATTCACAACCAGTTACTTCAGTGTTTTGGTAGAAATTACGAATTTTGCATAAGAAGCAGTTAATCAAATTATCAATCAGTCCCTCCAGTTTCTTGAGGATCAAATCAACAAACCCCAGCACTTTTTTGAACCAATACATAATTGGGGGTTTATTGCAGATTTTCTCAAAAATTGTTAAAAGCTTTACTTATACTAAACAGCTGCCTCAGTTTTAATTGATGTCAGATTATAATCCATGCAAGTAATAAAATCTCATTTACCGTCATAAATAAATATTTCCAGATTAAAACCACAAACACTGATTTCTATTACAAAAAATCACAAAAACAATCACAAAATCCTGGATCAGATCTTCAGTATTATTTCATTTTAAGGATTCATTGATATTTTATCAGTTTGTGATCAGGTTTTATCAGCACATTCTGGCACAACTGGCCCTTTAAGAGCATTAATGATCTTGATTTGGCCCAAAACGAAAATGAGTTTGACACCGCTGTTGCAGCCCAACATGTGCTGTGCGTGCGTGCGTGCGTGCGTGCGCATGTGTGTGTTGACGTAGCCAGCTCAATGTCAGATTCTGATTGATGGCCTGACCACAGGCAGGATGATGACTCTGCAGTATGAACTCGGTGATTAATGTCTTAATTGTGAAGGCAGCACAGCAAACCAAGATTTACCCCCGACTTCACTCATTTCACTTTTCCTGCCTCTCAACTGTTGATTTGTGACTTTGCTTCAAGCAACGCAGGCGAGACATTTAGCACAAAGACGGTAAAAGTAGCTGAAATGTTTGGGAAACTTTGACCAACAAGAGCAGCTTCGATGAACTGACGTCGAGGAGTTTTGTGTTTTTGGAGGAAAATGTTGATCCTAGTGCCAAACCGCGTACGTCACTTGATTTGTTGGAGTTTAATTATCCTACATGACCTCCAGCAGCCATTGGATCAATCTCCTCATCCCAACGCCAAGCCTGATTCTGCTTCCCTCGAGTTCCCCCCAGCTTCACACTCTAATAGAGGGCCTTTCCAATTCAGGAAGAAAGTATAAGACATTAAATGCATGTATCGGACTTCTGAAGAGGAACAGGAGCGCAAAAAAAACTGTTTTTTCACAGAATTCAGATTTTATTTCTCAGAATTAGGATTTCTATAAGGGTTGGTATTGGGATTATAAAAACTTTTACCGCGCAAAAGTACTTGCATTCTTTAAACATTTTATATTACAACCACACCTATACTTTGGAAGTCACTTCTGTATAGGACAACATGTTCTTTTTACACCAATTCTAATCTATATGCATTTTGTATCCGACTGTTGACTTTTCATTCTCCCTTTTCTCTCCTTCATCCTCTGCACTCAGGGCTCCAAAGCATCTCGATGGGCTGACCCAGACCATTTCGCTCAGCGACAGACCTGCATGAACGCCTTCAGCCGATGGCTGGGCTTCATGCCTTTGGTGCACTCCCAGATGAGGCTGGACCCCGTCCTATTCAGGGACCAAGTTTCTATACTGAGGAAGAAATACAGAGACATTGAGAGACTCTGAAGGCAAAACTCACACAGAAACTCAGAGCCTCATCTGGAACATGGGTGGTTCAGAAGGACAAAGACGAACGAACAGAATGGGGTTCTATGAGAAGAAAAACCTGCAGGCAAAAGATCAAAAAGTGGAGTGTATGGAAAAGACTGCTTGTTTTTATGGATAAGTGTCACCCACAACATTAAAACCAGTGTTATATGGACAGAAGAGGATTAGGGACACAGAAATAAAGAAATGAGTTTTTTATAATTTTCATTTAATCTCAGATTAGTCAAAATTATGAGAAAAAGTCAGAATTCTATGGAAATAAAATCTGAATTGGTCAGAAAATTAACTTTTTATATCAGAAGATTAAAGCCAAAATTATGAGTTAGAATTTTGAAAAAAAAAAAAAAAAGTACAATCAGAATTTAGACTTTTCTCAGAATTCTGACTTTATTCTTCTGTGATTAAATGTCAAAATTCTGAGAAAGAAAATCAGAATTCTCTTTTTTCCAAATGGTCATAATCTCCTTCCATAGCAGGTTTCTGTTCTGCAGTCATCTGGAAGGAAAATCTCAGATTTATGCTGTGATAAATTATGACCAGTAACAGTTTTAATCTTGTGGCTGATCAGTGTATGTGAATGCAACAAAAAACCTAGACATATTCTAGATATTTGCAATCAAAAGACAAAAAATGTTTAACGAAGAAAGTTTACTGTGAAATATGTTTGGAAGTATTACAGGAATGAAAGGTCTTGTGAAGATGTGTACAGAAATCACTCAACATGGACAAAAAGAATGAAACTCAGACTGTATGCCACTTGTACACTACTGTAGATTTTTGGCAGCAGTTGCTCGCTGTATAAAGCCAATAAAAATGAAATAAAGAGATATTATATAGAAGGAAAGAAGTTGTCAACTTTTTCTGTTCTTTAGTTTTTCAAACAAAAATTATCCATCTTAAACCTTTTCATGCTAATGAGGTGTAATGCAAGTGAAACAAAAAAAAAATAAATAGTGGACACTAAATTCCCAAAAGTACTCAAACTCAAAAAGGCTGATAGCAAAACACAGCTTCACATGTAAGAAAAAACATGTGTATGTAGTGAGATCCTGTGAAACTATGCAAATTCACAGTTTCCACATTTTTGTACTTCCATTTGAGTTTCAACTGCATCTAAAACATCCCAAGCTCTTAAAAAAAACACACCCAGACATTTTTTGGCAATAAGTTAATATATTTTGGTGTCTAAAAAATGAGCCGTTTCAAAAAATCTCCTGATAAGTCACATTCAACAGGCGCTGCACTGTTGCCTAGCAACCTCAGCCAAGCCCAGCCCGTTCCCTAGCAACCCAAGCAGAGCTCCAGCATGTTTGGTCAGCTAGTTTTACTTTTGTATGCACTGTACAATGACTGCTGGAAAAGACAAGTTTTTTGTTACCATCCAGAAACCACTTGCCAAAAAATAATTTTGGTTGACAAAAGATTCTGAAATCAGTTACCAAATGTAAATAAAATTACCTAAATACGCAAAGGAAACAAACAGAATCTATAACTAAAATAGTCAGTTGCAGCCCCAGTTCTCAGCCATTTCACAATTCTCACGGTTCGCTGGAAAAGTGAGAAGCCGCAGTTGTCAAAAACTTGAACATGAATTAATTAAACTCAAATGGATCCTAACAAAGATGCGTCTCAGAGGAGCTCGGCTGGTGAGAGACTCAGACACCTGAACAAATCAAATCACACTCCTGCATATTCATTCTTTTGCCTGAATTTACTCCACCTGAATGAGTCAGTAGAGCAAAAACAAAAAGTCTCCTGACTGCACAACTGTCAACAGGAAATCCAGCCTGAATGGATGCAGATGGTTTTTCTCTTTCTTGAAGACGCACAAAACAGAGACCTTTCTCTAAAAACGCTCCGTCTCCACCGTGATCAATACGGTCAGCGTTATTCACTGGATGTGATCATCCATGTGTTCCCCCAGGAGGTAAGTAAAGCCGTTTCATTTTTCATCGTTTGGACTTATTGAACATGAACATGGATCTGCTGATGTAAGAGGAAGTCAAAGAGATGGAGGAAAAAACAGCAGTCTGCCCATGGGAATTGTAAAAGGCACAGATAGCTTTTAAGTCATATAAAAAATTGAGAAATCTGGATCTCCCAGGAGATCTGCTTGAGAAAAATATGTCAGATAGGGTTTTAAACAGCCTATACACTAAATAAAATATAATAACCAGAAACAAACTACAGAGAAATAGCTCCCCATGCACAGTTAGCAGCAGTTAGCATTACAGTTTTAAAGTTAAACGTAGCTAAAATGCACATTAATAAGTTAAAAACGTTCAAAACATACCAAAATTACTCATTAAACACTGTATGATTACAGATGTCTAAAATATATGTTAAAATATAATGCATGTAAAGAAAACAGCTGATAATATGTAGCACCTTTACAGAACAGAAAAAGGGGGCGGAGCTTGTCAGTTATTGGTTGCTATGGTAACCACCAACTGCCAAAAGTAGCAGGACCCACCATAAACACCAGTAAGTGTCTGGAGAAAACTTTGACTAAAAGAAAATTCAAAGAATAAAATAAATTTGGACAAACTTCACATCTTTAAAACCCTCATGTTCAGCAACAACATGTCACACAAACGTGACTTTAATCTTCATGTCCAGTTTACGCAAAATAAAACCTGTTTATTATGTAATGCTGGATTAAAATAAATTATTAAAGCATAATATATTTGTATCAAGTTGTCAGTTTTATCAACCGTATAGTCTGTAACTAAACAGGCAGCTCTGTTATGTTCAGAGATATTAGCAAGTAATTTATTCAAAGCTTGAAGTCTTTCACCCAAATCTGAGGTCCAATCTCAAATCAGAACAACTGAAATACATATTTTAAAAACCAAATTCAAAACTTCTGGTGCACCTCCGTTTGTCCTCAGGTCCAAATTATTACATGAACATTTGATGATTATATTTCAATCTTTTAATATTTATCATACAATTTAACAGTTTAACATTCACTTACCACTCAAAAAACATCTGTTAAGTTGATTTATATTATTTTGAAAACGAATGTAATTGTAATGCCTCTCTAAAAAGGCACCTTTGCTTTTGTCTCATTAGGGATAAACTACTGCCCAAGTGTAGTAAGTAAATATGAGAGTTAAACTTCTACATTAAAATAAAGGAAGTGCTTTTATTGTGATATGTTCATATTAACAAAACAGGAAGTGCTTTTATTGTGATATTTTCCTCATACAAGTTAAACAGTTGTTCCACTTGCAGATTATTTTACTTAACTAGGTTTTTTTAATCAATGTCAATAACTTATTGGCTTTAAACAAGCTACTACTACTTCTTGCTGAAAAGTTAATTAAACTAAGAAATTTGCACCAGAAACTAGACAAAAGTATTTTTGTTTTTGAATATAAAGAGTAAAAGATTTCCGACTCTAATCTGATATAAAATGATAAACAAAAATGTAATTGAATCTTTAATCATGTAATCAGTTTAAATCTTTAAACTTTTCAGCAGTGCTGTGAAACTAAAAGCAGAAATCGGTAACATCCTTCTGCCTCGGCCTGTCCTCTCCTTCCAAAGCCGCCAGCATCCATCTCATTCGCTACAGCTCTATTATGCAGCGTAACCTAAATAAAATAACGCATGAATAAGTCATTTATGTGATTCATAGAGTTTAGATAATTATTCATCTCTCCGTAGGAGAAGCGCTCATTGATTCGTCGTGACCCGAAGCAGCTTCCAAGGTTATGGAATGAGAAATTGATCGGCGGCGGCGAGCGCTGATGGAGAGAGGAACAAACTCCCACAATATCCAAATATTCAAATCTCTCTCCTGCTCTCTTTTCCTCGCTGCCGCCGCTCCTCAAATATCCGTGACCAAATGGACTTATAATTGGAAGCCAGGAGGCCCAGAAACACTCCTCCACCTTCCCCGAGTCGCCCAGATATTAGTTCTGGTGAGTTACAGGGTTGATCTTCACTTCAAAATGAAGGAGAGAAGAAGAAGAAGTAATTAGGTGGAGGTGGTCGTGTTTGTTCGAGATTTTCTCATCCTCTGGATTTTCTTCCTTTTAAATTTTTTCTCCAGAGATCCAAAAAAACGTTCCTAAGTTCCTCCTCGTCTGGACTAATTACAGGCCTGTTGATTTACGAACCCCATTATGATTGAGAGGAAATAGAAAACTGAAGAATGGAGTTTGCAGGAGTTTTGCATTAATGTGCACAGTGGTCTTATCAGTACTAACATCTACAGCCAATCAGCTGCAAGGGAAAATGATTGGCACTCCTTGATTGGCTACTTTGTAAACACCAGCCAATAAAGTCAAGCAGCACTGAATCTTTTTTATTTTAGATACTTTAATTGTTTTATTTAGAATGTTAGATGCTGAATGAAAAAAACAACAACACGCAAATAGGCAAATATACAATTTGCATAGTGTTGACTGTTTTTTGTAATACTGAAGTTAAGAGTTTGGATTTTTTTCACGTTTGTTTTGAAATAACTAATTTCTACCTCAAATAACACAAACTCCTTGAATAGACTGGATCTCGTAAGAAAACAACAAAAAAACAGGAAAATCAATGACTGGACAGTTTATAGAACTGCTGCCTAAAACTTTACGTATTTGTAAATAAATACAACAAAACTACAAATTAAGATAAATTTGTGGAAGAAAATAAGTTGCAAACAGAGAAAGCCTCCAGCTGTAGTTTCTTACATTTCTCCAAAACATTTCCAGGGCTAATCAGTCAAACCTCTGCCTATGTTATGGTCTAACATGCAGTCGACTGAACATGTGTTCACCGAGTCCTGGGGGAAAGAGTCAGGAAATGAGATCCAGATCAGGAGGGAAGGAAGTCGGATTCTAAAATAAGAAAAACAAATCGACACCACAGGAACAGTCTGCCCCCAGTGTGTCAGTGTGTGTCTAACAAGTGCAAATTAAATGATCTGTGGACTTAGTAATTGCTTTACAACTATAGGACGCCATTTTTATTATGCGGAGAATAATGGAGGACAAAACTGGAGCAAAAGCGTCAAACAGCCATCGCTCCTCGTTTATATTTATGTTGCAGTAAACAGCTGGAAAATGAAAACCATTTACCTCAACAGGAGGATTCAGGTCCACTCAACAAATGGACTGTTTCCTTCATAAATGTATGCAAAACTTCCACAAAATATTCCGCTAATGTCAAAAAAACATACAATTTTGCAATTGTGGAGTTTTC